GATCACATCAAATTTAAAATTCAATAATTAATTAGAAAGAAATACAATACTGTAGAGAAATATTCCACGCTTTATATTTCAACAGAATAAATAATTCTATTCTAAAATACAAGAGAAAAACCATACAAGCCTCAAATTGCCAATGACAATGAAATTTCAGTTTGAATCAGGATTTTAATCATCGGTTTATAAACTTCATTAGATACCTTTGTTTGGATAAAATAAAAACAGGGGATCGAGGACCAACATGGGATTTAAAACCCAAAATGAGCGAGGGATGGGAAATGAAATGGGTGTCCTTATTTTTTTGCTTAAGATAACAAACACAGAAAATACCATATAGTGTTCAATGAGGGAAATTTTGCTCAGAAAAAGTTATACACGGTTAGTCGGACAAATGAAACTATGTTGCAAGTTCCAAAACTACGACCTATTCTATGATTAACCTCAAATTATTATAACATTTCTCTCTTCTCTCCATAAAACAGTTTAAATGAAATATCTGAAGCTTCGCCAAAACAATTGATGGGCGTATAAAAAGCAAAATCAGTTATGTGGATTCTCTGCAATGAATGCTAAGTTGATAAATGCAATCGCAGAATAACATCAGGTGTGGCAAATTATTAAGTCACCACTCTTAGAGATCATATTCACACGCTATCAATTTAAGCTCAAGCCAGACATGACTGGTGAATTCAGCTATATCAACAGCCCTGTATTACTCTATGTTTTTAAACTCTATAACTCACACTAAAATAACATACAAATAACCGGAAATTGTAAAAATAAAACTCTTTAAACAAGCAACAAAACGAACAAAAAAAAACGTTAAAAATTAAAATTGGATAATGCTAGATATGTAGGGCTGAAAACACGATTATTTTAAACTCAATCCCAGGGGCCTTATTCACCAAAGCTTAACTTAAAAAAAATCAAAATTTTAAGAAATACAGTAATCTGATTGGATAACAAAACTAAATTTAATATCAATATTAGTGATTGACCAATCAGATGCCTGGAACACTCAAATCATCTTAAGAATAAGGCCCCAGATGGATAATGCCATGTTGAAAAATGCATTTTAAGGAGAAAAATATGACACTACTGACTAAATATCTGACTGTCATGACATCTGACACAGACAATGTCATGACATCTGACACAGACACTGTCATGACATCTGACACAGACACTGTCATGATATATGACACAGACACTGTCATGACATCTGACACTTTCATGACATCTGACACAGACACTGTCATGACATCTGACACATACACTGTCATGATATGACACAGACATGACATCTGACCTTGACACCGTCATAGCATCTGAAACTGTCTGTCATCTTGCAGACACAGTCATGACCTCTGACCTTGACACTGTCATGACATCTGACATCGAGACAATATCGACCAAAGTTATATTCTTCAACATTCATGTGACGTATTTTAAGAATGTATGACAGTTATGTTGACACATTATTCAAATTAGATTTTCACCATCAAAATGAGGCAATACTGCTTTAAGCATGTTTTAATGATACAGGTCATTCAGTAATTTTAAGCAAACCTAAAACTGTCCAGTGAATTTTTTAAACCTGGATTGTTTCAGCCCCAGATTAGAAAGTTAATAATATATATCTAATATTCGAATATTATTATTGCACAAAGATCAATTAACATTAAAATAATTATCACCACTTATTATCTCAAATATTCCAATATCATTAAATCAAATCTCTTGAATTTTAAGAAAATTGGCAGTTCTTTTTTTTATTTTGAAAATTAAAAATTGTGAAGATAATTCTAGTCAATTGAGAAGCGAGATTGATATGGAAATTAGTGGTTATACTGTAAGATATATAGTTATAGTTTAATATATAATAATAATATAAGGTATATATAACAGTTATATAATGTCTAAAGCTGAGCAAATTTACATCTTGGGTCCCTCCAGTGTTACGAGTCAGTTTCCACAACTGATAGGAGCTTTCAGGTTCAGTAGAGTTTCTAGGAAACAAGGGGCCGAGAAGGCTCACAGCACCAGCCATTTAACTCAATGATAAGAAATTTGAAACTGGCAGGTGCCGAGCTGGCCACCTTAATTTCTGTTAGGCCATGGCATACCCTTGAAACACTCCTATTCCAGTTGACCTGGCAACAGACAATCTAGTGAAAGTCGATTAGAGCCTAATTTTTGAAAGGGCCATGGCATCAACCGTAGAACTGCCACTGATCAGGTTGACCTGGCAACTGGCTTAATCTACCCTAAACTAATATTGTGCCAAGTTAAGTTGAATAGACCACGTTATTGACTCAACAATAGCAGTTGGTCATGTTTTACTGCTCAGTTGTTTCTGATAATCATCCTATTCAGTCTGTAACTGTATTTCATCATTTTGATTTCATTGCTTAGACTTCAAAAACTACGTCGACACCCAGGAGGTCCAAGATGTACTATATATTAAGGATTTCTGAATATTATAAGTTTTGAGATCACTAGAATTAATATACAATTTATGCACCATTCTTATCTTATTAACAAGTTCATTATAACTACCACAAACTTGCTTCAACTAAAAAATAAAGTTGTTAAAATTGAGACAGAAAGAAATTTCCATTCAAGAAAACTTTCAAACGAGATACAACAAACAAGTTACCACATTGTAGGAAATTCCCAAAGTTGTCCATTTAAGAAATCAAAAACCTTAATGTCAATGCCCAGATGTAAAAATGTTGTCAAAGAAAGATAGAAAGGCTTAATCAACTCATATTAAAACTGCAAAAAAATGTCTCAGATTTTGGAAAGTAAGTAACTATGAATTTTAAGCACTGCTACTGAGACAGGTTTCTCTCATTTTCTATTAGTAATATTCAATAAGTTTTCTTTTAACAATTCTTAACAAAAAATTTTAACAGCTATAATGAATTATTTCATAAAAAATTATACTTAAAATAACAAAAAAAATTACTCTAAACTTTCATGTTATACCCTTTTCTCTTGTTTAAACAAAATCTAACAAAAATTAAAACAAGAAAACAAAAAATCAACAAAATAAAACAGTAATTTCTTTTAAACTTGATCTATCCAAAATATGTTAAAGATTTACTCATGGGCTGGGTGATATAATATACCAGTTATATCATAAATATAGACAGGAATTTATTTTGGTTTGTAATATTGTCCAAGAACTGGCAAAAGATCCCTATCAGGATTAGTTCTGATATAAACTGTTAAATCCATAGCAATATTTGAAGTTATTCTTAGATATTAAATTTATTATCTTATCTTATTCCAGAATAACACATCATTGTGAATTATTCATTAGACCTTTATTATAAGCCAAAAGAAACATCATGTCTACCAGGTGGTACTTAGTTAAACTTCTCCGCTTTAGAGAAACCTGTCAAAGACATCTCTCAAATCATTCTGGATAGATCAAGTCTAAAGAAAACTTCGATGTAGTATATTTTTCTCCAAACTGAGCAAAATTTTTAAATTATGAAGTACTAATATCAGTTAAATACACCATCAGCAGTTTCAACGATTAGCTATTTAACTTTATTATTCGAGATTCTCTTTACAATGTTTAATAAGCTATTGTTTAATATTTCAAATTTCATATACTGCCCTATTATGATTATTTTACTGAATCAGAAAATTTGCAGGAATTTTCTTTCAAATTCAATAAAAGATGGAATTAAAAGATGGATATTAAGTGATATTGCCCTTTTTCCAAATACTGACCTTTTCTTTCTATATCAAGGCTAATTCAAAAACTTCAAAAAATTTATATTAAAAAATGGTTTCCTGATAAATGAAATATTTTCTTTGTTTTAATAAATTTTTATTGACATTTGCCTCTCATTTTAATGAAAATAAAGGTATACTTTTCAATATCAAAAATTAATATTTTGACTACCTTTTTTTGCTACACCAAGAAAAGTTCAAACAATTTTTTTGTTTTTGTTATGAAAAAATGCCTTGAATTACAAGGAGAATATGAAACTGCCTTCTGTTTGTTTGTTGATAAATGATTTATAAATTCCATGAGCAATAAAAACTTGAATATCACCAAACGATCAAAGATACAAAATATTTATATACAATGTGTGTGAATTCAGCAGATCATTCCATAGTGATACGTTCAGCAGCGACCAGCAGATTCTCGATATCGTCTGGGTTCTGAACCTGGTCATCCGGACTAGAGTGAATACTAAACCTCGCTTTATTCAACCTATCGTAATTTTCACACTTATCTTCGAAATCTGATTCGCTTTCCGATGTGGTATATGCAGTAATATCGGTATATTCTAGATTAGCTAAAGGATCAATACTGTGACGTTTATTTCTCGATGGAAGCGTACCTTCCTCCTCCGAGGAGCTCTCGCTAGGCGCTTCTTCTAAAAACGGGGGAGGAGGTGGAAACTCTTCTTCATTTTTACCCTCAGACACAAAACTTCCTTCCATACTTTTTTCAGATACAAAACTTCCCTCCATGTTTTTCAATTTTTCGAGTGTCTCTAAGGGAGATAAATCTAATTCGCGAGCCTCACATTCACCGACGCCTGAATCAATCGTAGTGTCACGACCCGATTCCTTGAGGCACTTGGTTGCTGCGTACTGCATATAAATTTCTTTCGCTGCGTTAACGTTTTCCATCAGTTCAGAATCGGATTCCGTGTCCGTCCCGGAACTACCACTCAACATCAGATCAATTTCAGAATCAGCATTTTTCAAATTTTCTAAAGTTTGTAAATAGTCATGTGATCCCATTGGATCACCATGGTTACTACCGACACTAGAATTATCGTCCATTGGGCTGCGTAAAACTTGTAAACTCACATCACTGGTAAAACTATCTCTTAAATCACCATGGAAACTAACACGCTTGGCAGCTTCAGCTTTTCGATTGGTTGAAGCTGTTTCATCTTCTTCATCAACTTTCTGTAGTGACCATCTTTGTTTTGGATCACGATCAGTGCGAATTGAACGAATCGGAACTGGGGCTGTTGGGGGTCGTTCTTCTGGCGAATAATCAGAGGAAGGATCTGGGCGGAAGGTTGAGAAAGTCGGCTCCGTGGGTGAAGGTTCATCTTTCGATGGTGGGCTATCATCATCACTGTATACAAAGGCTGCAGCCGGTGACGGGAGATCAAAAATATTCTTGCCCTTTGTGTTGCTGGATTTCGGACTTGGGATTTCCTTCATGAATACTTTGGATTGTTTAGGGTCTGGTTTGACTGAATACCAGGCATCTTTTTCAGATCTGTCCTGGATGTACGGTCTTGTTTCCTCGGGGCCTGGGCTTTCAACCTGTACCCCAAACGTGGTCATGACAGATTTCGGGCGTTCATCTTTCTTAGGTTCTTTCTTCTTCTCTTTCACTGGGAGTTTAGCGTCTTTTGGGATCACTTTTGGTTTGACAGCAATCACAGTATGATCAGTAACCAAGGATTCAGAGCTGGGACTTGTGGGTAAGGACTCCACTGTAGGACTGGTGAGTGTTGGTGGTTCTGATTTCGGTCTTTCTCGTACATCTGGTGCTCTGGGTTTGAATCCTCCTGGATATTTAGCTGCTTCTGTTGGAGATAGTGGCTGCTTGGTAGATGCTGGTAGATCTACTGGTGGCTTTTTTGACTGTGTGAGAATTGTTTTGGGTTTTTTGCTGACTGGGGGAGGGGGTTTCTTTGACACAGGAGGTGGATCTACTGAAGTCCCAAGATCTCGAATCTTTTCAGTTTTGTCAACTTCTTTGGGAATATCTGTTTTCTTATCAGGGTGTGAAACAACTTCTTTTGGGACTTCCGTATGAGTTTCAGTTTTCTTGACAATTTTTGGAGTTATGTCTTGTGATTTGGGATCTAGGGGTACCTCTTGCTTCTTCTCTTTAGGATCTTCAATGACAGTTTCTCCCTGTTTTTCAACTTTTGTTGTTTGCTCCAAGACTGTTTCTGTGTCTGTTGATTTGACAGGTACAGTTGGTTTTGGGGAAGCTACATGATGAACTTTATTCTCATCCTTTTTCGTCCGTTCTGGTTTTGGTGGGGCGATGGGAGGGGGTGGTTTGACCTCATTTAAACTCTCTCTTGACCCCATTTCAATCTCTGCCCTTTCGTCCACTGTTGGTAAAACCTCAATGTATTTGTCATTGGTCAAAATAAAGGTTTCTTCGAATTCATCGGAATCTTCGATGATGACTTCAGGGACGATTTGTTTCTCTGTTGCCACATACTCAGGGTCTTTCCCAAATTCTTCCAAATTTCTTTCAATGATATCTTTACTTATTGCTGTTTTTGATTTCTGGACTTTTTGATCTACAGTGCTCAATTCGATATCTTCACCTGGAACAGAACTTTGGCCCCAGATATTGAAAACGACCCTTTGTCCAGTTTTTGACGAGGCCGCAGCCACCATAGAATTATCAGTTTTGAGAGAATTGAGCTCAATTTCTGCTGATTTGATGGCTTTGTCTAATTCTGGAGATCTCGGTTCTGTTGACAGAACAGCACTGACTTCAGGCTTAGTTTCCAAAAAATCTGGTTTTGAGACTTTTTCAGCTTTTGATTCTTCCACTTTCACGTTTGAATCACCGTTTGCCAACACCTGCTCATCTTTTGGAGTTTTTGTAGATTTATCCTCGAGTTGTTTAAAAATTTCTTTTTCAAATGAAGGACTAGTGGTGTCATCTATAGATGAGAAACTATCTCTTGGAGGAAGTTTTGAGGCGTGCACTAATTCTAAGCGTCGATGAAGCGAAGGGGAGCGATCACAAGGGGATGTACGCTCTAGAACACGAGAGCGTCTAGAAGGGGGTGAGGGGGAGTGATTATGTTTTAACTGATCAACGTTAATTTTTGATAATTTTGGTTTGCCACAAGGGGATGGTGAACGTTTTGATTTAGGTGGGTTAAATTCGTTAATGGGTCTGCCGAAAGTCGCGGGACTACTTTCTGATTTTTTCATTTCGACAGCCGTATACACGGATATTTCTTGCTTGTTTTCCTGTTCGCCTTCCACTAACCTACGATGTAAGTAATACGGTATGTCTTCGATCAAATCATCAGACAGTTTACGTTTCTCATCAGATTTAACGTCCAATGGCGTGTTAGCATTTTGATCAAGTTCCGGACTACTTTTTAAGTCTAGATCAACCAGTATTTTGGTTTCAGTATTCGGAACTTCCGTTTCTGAGAGTTTCTTATCTAAATCTTTCACACTCGCAGTCACACATTCACTCGGATTCACGTCTGCGATTTTCTCAATTTCTATTGGCCCAGCATCCTGACCTGATTCGCTGACCTCTGAACTTTCAACCTCTTGACCTTCGAACCCATCTGCTATTTTACCCTCAATCAAATCTTTCATAGATTTCCCTGATTTTTCATCGATGCAGACGCCATCAACATCTGAAAAAGTGACATTTTTCCCACCAATATCTCGTAATTTTACGACCCTAGCCTCGTCACCTTCATCAAGGTGGTACGAGTCTTCCGATAGGTCGTCTTCATTGTCATTAGCATTTTGATTGGCTGAATAAAAGTGCATATCAACATTATTAGAAATAGTTTTTAACTTATCGCCACCTTTATCTTCAGCTTCTTTCTTCTGATTGGTCACATCTTCTTGTCGCATTTCTTCATCTGTTTTGTGATTGGCTGAATCCATACTATCAGAAATCACCATACCATGTTCGAGTTTCGGGGATCCTAGGCTTCGACTTCCAGACATAGAACTGTCACTGTGTACCTCAGCCATTTCCACCCGAGTCGGTGTGACGTGGTTATCCAGGGCTGGGTCAAGAATATGGCTGCCACTAGAAGCAGTACTGTTGTGGATATCGGACGAATTGTGGATGGCAGTTTTCGGGTTGGTTTTTGGTGTAACGCTTGTACTTCTACTGGATAATCTTCCACTCGTAGACCTGAAAAATACAATAAAAACATCTTAATAATCATTGTTTTAATATCAAAATCTGCTTTGAGTTTCTGTTTCAATGAACCTGTATGACAATGAAACCATGGTGGTAATATGTTTTACTAGAGCTTGAAGCTATGTGTAAATGTGTTTGTATGACCCAAGTAGAAAATATGTAGCTTAAAACTCTTGAAATAAATAACCCTTTACGCAGATAGATGACTAGAGTAGAAAATAGAAACCATTGTAAAGTGTATATACAAGAGTAAGATAACCATGAGAACATAGTTCTAATAATAGTATTATAAAAACAAGGGTCAGGTAAGTAAATATTCCGATGATGCAATGAAATGGGCAGAGGCCAGAAAAATAGAATATTTAACACAAATAGATGTAAATTAACCAAATTTCCATATAAAACTTTTTGAAGTAAAAAAGATATTGATAGAAAAAAACAACGAAACGAAACCAAACCAAACCGCAAAACAAAATTCGAATAACAAAACAAAACATATTGACAATACATGGATAGCGTGAGGAAATATTTCATAATGAAAAGTAAAGAAAGCATCAAATGATTGAATTGAGAACCCAATTCCGTGCAAAAAAATTACAGAAAATGTGTCAAACTTCCCAAATGAAAACCATTTTTTAAAGATTGTGGTTCCAAGTCGTCCAGAATAATATCTACTTACTTCCTAAATACATTCCAAGAGAAGCATTAAAAATAAATTATTTAGATTACAAGGAAATTCAAGATGAAAAATAGTTGAAAGGAAAAGGAAATCTAGGTCATATTGTTCTACAACTTACATGAATGATATAATAATAATATGATTAAGATGCCAAGCAGATATATAGTTCAAAGGAAAAAATTTCTATTTTATCATGCAGTTTAGAAAATTAGGGTCAGAAAATGAAATGAAATGAAGTTTTACTTCCTACGATCATCATGCAAATTTGCCATGAAAAAAATTGAGTTTTACGTCTTACTCTTTTGGGCTAATGAAGACGGGCAACCATGCAGTGTACAATGACGGCAATTTTGCTAAAACAGAGGCAATTGCCTCCTTTTTTTTTTATTTTGAACTGTCGAGGGATCTAGCACACAGGGCCTGGGTTTATTGTCCCATCCGAATGAACAAATTTGCCAGGACGAACACATGAGCACTGAATATTTTATACTATACTATATGTAGCAGATGAGAACAAACTTCTAGTTTCATTCAAAACTTTACAATCAAGTTGAGGAATAAAACCTTACCTTTCAAAATCTGGTCGTTTCACGATATTTTCTCGGACAAACTCCTGTAGTTGTTTCTGAGTTCGACCAGAATATCTACAAAAAAGAAAACATATCGATAAGATTTACAAAAGCAATGGCATTTTTAATGTTATAATTCATTTCAGAGAGTCCACATAGCTGATATTATTCTTTTTTTATACTCAATATAGTCAAACAGAGGATATTGACCGTCGGTCATTTGAACTACCCTGTCTGTCATGTCCAGCATATAGAGTCAAATCAACAGCCCTGGTATACTGTATTCATTGCATACCAATGGGCTTATGACTCTACTGGTGGACAAGACTGTCCCTGAGGCCTTTCTTCAATCTCTTAGCATTAACCCTTGAATACCAGTCCAAAAACTTGATGGAATATGGACTCGATTTTGATATGTACTGTGACTGGTGTTGCTTGCCAGGAATGGCATGGTCATTCTCTTGTAACACTTGATGCCACTTTGGGACTGGGTTTGTCAATTCAGCATCCCTTTCAGGAAGTCAACATTTTTAAAATCTTCAACTCACCTAAATGATGAACCTCGACTGACAACTCTAGTTTTATTTCGTGCAACTTTCCGCACAACCTGGCATCGGAAAAAGGCGTGATGTTCGATACATTTCTTCCAGAATGCTTTACAATCATTTCTCGTGTCCAGGAAAAATTCTACTGTATCTTTATAAAATCCCTAAAATTCAGAAAAAAATGGTTCATAAATTATTAGAACAGACAGAAAACATGTTCAATTTAATATTTTTTGTTTCAGTGAAATATCGATATTTTATAATGAAAAGAAGCAGATTTCAAATTATCTCATTTTAATCATAAAGATGAAAATATCACATTGTTGTACAAATATATCATGATATTATTACTACTAGGAAGATTCAACGGTTAATTCTGACGAAGTTTAACTTAAATTTCTCTTAATTCATTACACATGGTGCAATATTTTGAAAATCAGACCCAGAAATTTGTTTATATACAAAGGATAAATAATACCAAAAAATAAAATCAAGATCAGATATAAACAGATATAATCGACCCAGCTGTAAATGGGTACAGATAATCCGGGGAATGCCAAGAGGTCTGGCCAAGGACCAGCGGGTAGAAAGGATCCTTAAGTGTGAACTGAAGTTTTTATCCTTGTAAAATATAGTTTGGTTGGCTAAAATCTGCCCACCAAGTTAGCTTGCTAGTTGACTTCCTGACCCCACCCTACTCCTAATGTATTATAAATATAGCTATTAAGTGTTTACACTATCTAGGGGTAGGGATATACAATGGAATAATAATAATAATAATAATTATAAATAAGGGGGATAAGGGATGCACAAAACTAAGCATTCATGTTCGCATTTTGCAAAAAAAGCCAAAAAAACAGTAAGCATTTGCTTCACTTTCATTCCAAAACTATTAATACTGTCTATCTCTTTTCAATTTGCAACTCCCAGCATAAAATAATCAGTGATATTCTCCCACATCATGTTTAAAACTACATCTTAAAGAGAGTCAATAGAGGATTTCTAGTCTTTGTATGTGTATCATTGACATTTATAGCTTCTGATTCCTGGCCATCATCTGTGCTTCCTGTAAATCCTGAAAAAGTTGCCAGATCCTAACATCACTAAGCAAAACTAACAGTCAGCTTTGGTTAAATTCATTCTAGAATTACAGGAACCACAGACTACAAACGGTTAGATAATTCAAAGCTAAATGTGTCTGGATACTTATACAAAGACAAGAATCCAATTTGAACATAAGTCAGATTGATCTTAACTATATTTGTCTACCATAAAGGATTTAATCACATCAAAAATAAGTTATAAAAAATTGACATTACCAAGAGTTGGTCAAGCAAAAAAACATTCATGACAAGCAGACGTAGATGCGTATGAATACAAAGCTGGGACTATTTCCTTCTACTGCAAGCTTAATAATAAAGAGTTATATTACCTTAGTACTTACGTAACTATCTGGATGCAGTTTTATTAGAAATTTCTTTCTTTTAAAACTTAGTTTACGTATTTTTGCCCATGAAAAGGTGTTTATTTTGGTGGAAGTTTGGAAGACGAGAACACCCATATGGGCAACAGCTAAACTTAAAGATACGCCTTCATGGTCCTGAAAGGGAAAATACAATCATTTGTAGACTTTTGCTTTGAATACTAGAGAGAAGGTCTGTCTTCATCTACAACTTTAATTTGTTCAATTTTATGTTCAGAATAGTTTTTTTTCTGCAAAATTTAGATATTTTCATTGCATATTCTATTATTTCAGTAAAGTAAAGAATTATGGTAAATATTTGGAAATAAATTTTTTAAATTTAGCCTCACCTTGGCAGGATGAAGCCTGATTCCATACATCTCAACTTTCCGTGCTGTATCTAATAAATTAGAATCAGCCTCACTCGGTGTTTCTCCTCTAAAATGTTGATAAAATATGAAAATAAAACTTGACTCAAGTAGAAAAATGTTTTAAAAATGGAAAGTTTGACAGGAATTAAATAGGTTATGTTTTTTTCTGTTAAAATTGTCAATAAATAAATTGATATGAAGAGGAGACTTCAAAACTATCTCAGTGATAACAATTAAAATGGGAGAATGTGTCAAAACCCTTCTCAGCTATACCTCTAAAAATTATTTGGTATATATTGAAATATCTATATTATAGTCTACAAATAGTGAAAACTGAATATTATGGTAAAAACCAGGATTACTTCCTCTATTGACATCAATATAAAAACCAAGAATCATTTTACATTGTTTAGAAATTGATAAATCTGTGATCCAATGGGAGAATATTTCTAATATAATTTTTTTTTTTGAAGCTGATATAAACTCCCTGTTTTAATTTCTTTAACTTCTTGAGAAGAAACACTGGACAGTTGTTAGGAATAAAGAAGAATATTCTCAACTTACATGTGTTGTTTATGGTACTCCATGATTTTTTGTAATAATGAATGTGTTTGGTGAGGGATAAAATTAAAATCCGTTAAATATGAACAATCAGTATATTCATCTATTAAAAAATCACCTATTTCAGCTGAAAATAGAATACAATATAAATTAAACTTCCCAAAAATAACGTGTCAAACCAGATATAACGGCCAGTTATATATTTGAAATCCCTCAACTTTCTATTGAACTCTTCCTCACATAAGCATCCTTTCTATTAATCAAACTGTATATGTATGATTGGAAGAGCTCATTTTACTATTAGGGTGTTCTTGTTGCATTGTCAAATAATATCCAGGTTTGCATATAAGAAAATGTTTTGATTTGCCACTATATCAAGTTTTGAAAACTACATCAGACCAGTTATCACTTGAGAACGTTACCAGTATTCATCATCGAACATGAAGAATAGTAAAGAACTGACCTTGTACTATATAAGATGCTAGTAGAGCCACTGTATTCTCACTACACGGCATTATACCAGTCGCTAAATCTCGTTTTATTTGTAATGCAAATAAATATCTGAAAATAAACAACATAGTTTTATGAATTACTTTTCTGTTCGATCTGATCCTGGCTATGAAACACAGAATGCAATGAGAGAAATTTAGCTATGATAGCAGAACTAGTTTATTCTTGTTTAACTGTCAAAGTTTGGGGGATCTTTATCATGATAATTCAGCAATTGAATTTTCAAAAGCAAAAAAACAGAATCCACCCAACTTTTTTTCTCAAAAATGACCTAGACCTTACCTCGTTAATTCATCTTCCAGCAGCCCTGGATCTGGCGTGTAAAATTTGACACAGAATGTTAAAGGGGAATCAGGACTGGGTAGTTGTTTGGTTACTTGTTTATCACGATCTAGCCAACACTGAAAATACAAAATATTGTTCAGATTGTCATTTCTTAAGAAAGTCATTAGGTAACATGGAACATTTAACTGTTTCTTGTGTCATTAATTTCCAGAAAATTTGAACGACAATTGAAGCCGAGAGTATATATTACAGAAAACACAAGGGAATATATTATACTACAATAATCTTTAATATCAAAGTACAGAACGTTTCAACATAATTTACACGTATTGTCATCAGATGAAATGAAAAAGAGGGAGTAAACGTGTGTAAATTGTGTTGAAATGTTACGTTTTTTTTCGTTATTAATTTCCATGTCTACTGATTGTCTTGACTCGTGCACATTACAGAATGCTATTTGGATTATACAGGTCATAACAGACTTTACATACACAGATAAGTAGAAAAGCAGACGTCGGGTCAACATCATATTGAGGCTTGGGGTGCATTTGAGACAGATTGTAACAGAATTAAATCTACTTTCACTTTCCACTCCTAGTCAGTGAAGTAGAATAATATTTTTAAAACTTACCAACTGTCCCAGTTCGTCTGAAAACTGAAGATCGAAATAGTCCGCCTCCAGCAATGATAAATGTTGTATGACGGCATCCCATAATACTTGACCTACACTCTTCACCTGGAAATATAGAAGGTAAAAAAAAAAAATCAATATTTAAAATTTCAAGGATGCTTTGTTTTGTTTTTTTTGTCCTCTCGACTTTTAAATGTCTTTCAAATCTTACAGGAAGCTATGATCAAAATAACACAAATAACACAAATAACAAGCCTCCAAAAACAGATTTCTTCCCATGAAATTACAAGACTGGATATAATTTAACAAAAACCATCCCTAATTTTACAAATGAGCTCTTCCAATCATCAATATACAGAATCATATTGATAGAAAGTATGTATGTGTTGAATAGTTCAATTCAATTTTTGAAACACCTGATGGTACTTCTCTTTGGAGGAGTCCACTACTATACAACCTTTACTCTTGATTTCGCCATTCTTCAGACAAAATTTTTGATTGACGGAATTGACTTGCTTGTACAGATATTTATCATGCAAATCAACTGTGTATTGTGCTAACCCTTGAATTTAAAGATGGAATACATATGTATATATAAGAGATCAATAGCTCTAATCTAAAACACACAAAAATAAGTCAGATTTATAAAACGTCTGATTCTCATTATAAAACTCAAGTCATGTAGAAGACCTATTTCAACTCAATGTTATTTTTCGATCTTCTAATGAAATGGATAATGCTCTAACAGCTGTTAAAATAAAACTGAATAATTAAAGAGAGTTTCTAGAAGAATATATTGAATAAAGATGATTGATGGGTGGGATTTAAATCCCAACCGCCCTACCACCCCTGTCACCCCGAGCGCTTATAAAAATTTGCCCCAAAATAAGTAAGGTTTAATTTTAAGGATAAAAAATATATAAATATACCCATTTACAATACAAATCAGAAAGAAAACATACACAAAAATATTGTGATTGAAGAATATAATAATATATAATATAATATACTACTGTTTATCAATTCAATAATTTAATAGGAATACCAGATTATTTATCTTAAGTTACATCATAGAATCATAATATCATGACATTCTCATCAACTCTACAATTTAATGTGTTAAAAGTGTGAAGATCACAAAAAAAAGTCATGACTTTATTATGCTAGGATATTCAGCGTTTGAAATAATGATGATTTAATGAATATAAGAAATTTTCAATATGAGTTTTAACACCAACACCATCACTTGTTTACTCATATTAACAAAGTATGAATTTGTTTTTGATTTTGTTTGAAATATTTTAGAAATTTGACTATTTTTAAAGACAAATATAAGATATTCAAAACAAACAACATCACCTGTTTATTCCTATTCTGTTTTTTTGTTAATAAAAAGACTTAAAGGACTTCAGAATTTAAAAACAAAATCTGCCATCAAATTTGAGAAAGATTTTTACAGTATTTTTGAGCCTAAAAACCTCCAGAATTCCAAAATATTGGGATTGGCAGAGAAGTTTTGCATGAAAAATTAGACTCTGAAATTGTTTTTGTTACCCAACGATTCAAATGACGTCATCCCAGAAAAAAAGTGATGAAACATAATTCTAAAAGAAAACAAATTGAAAGGAGTGTGCAATGGTGATCTGGGTTTACAGAATTTCTAATTAATAATGAAATAACTAGAAGTTAGACCACACATTGGTTTCTGTCAGCCTTTAACAAGGATAGGCTCCTAATTATCAACCTTAGAACTTGCACTATACTGAAAGTTTCAGGTTGTTTGGAATAGTCTTGGATATCTTGCAATGGAAAGGTAAAAAGTTTATTTCAGCTTCTCTTCCTTCTTAGTTTAAGATTTTAGTTTCTATCAAGAGTGGATTAATCAGGTAATATTAAATTTAATTTTCAAAGTGTTTTCAGAATTTCTAATCTACACCAAAATAATGAATTACGACTTTCCATCTGGCACTCAGATTATAAATATGTTTAGGATATATGACCTTTAACAACATAACAACTTCATTTAATTATCATTATTAGTTTTTATACAACGGAGGAATTATACAACATTGTGTATATAGTTTTAGAAAGGTCATTCCAGTCTTCAACTAAATTCTTCTGAATAAACGACCTGGATAACCTTGACTTACGTTAATGCGCAGATATTTCAAACTAAGGCTGAAAAATTAGTAAATATGACTTATCATTGGAATTCCGTTGAATGTAAGTATGCTAGATCTTACTAATTGACTAAATTAGGATTAATCATTCATATTTCACAATTACTGATGTGATTTGGAGACTTGTTTTCATTTTTACCAACCATCTTCTCCTGTCAAATAAAACTAACTGTTTTGGAGGATCAGGGTCAATTTTAATTGAGAAATATTTTCCTCTTCAACTACATTGGGAAGCAGGGGATTTATTTTCAAATAGTTATACACGTTGATATCCCTTTTTTCATACTATCATATTTTACAGAGCATGTTCATAACATCATACGTTTAATAAATATATAATATAAAATATGTATTCATAGGTTTGAGCAAAATATCTGTTGATACCATTTCACTTTAGTATCTAGCACCTTCACTTTAGATAATCTTTTTAGGAATTCTGCAGGACAGTCGGTAAGAGCCTTGGAAACTTAACATACCATCATGAAATCCTGGGTGGGTTCTATCTCCAAGGTGATTTTGATTTATTCATCATCTTTCCTCATAATTCCAGTTGACCCAGCTGTAAATAGGTACGGATAATCTGGGAAAAATCAATGCCAAAAGGTTTGGCCAAGAACCAGCTGGTAGAAAGGACCTGAGTGAACTAAGTTATTATCCTTGTAAATTATTGTTGTTTGTTTCTTTCTTATTGGCTACGTGACCAGTATTAAGTCATAAATCTGAAAGATCAATGCCAAGAGGTTTGGTCAAGGACTAGCTGGTAGAAAGGACCTCAGTGAACCTAAATTGTTAACCTAATAAAAATAGGTTGTTTCTTTCTTTTCATTTTAAATATTGTATGAAGTTTGTAGTATGAAGTATGAAGTTTGTAGTATGAAGTATGTAGTGTAAGAATGAAGTATGAAGTATGTAGTGTAAGAATGAAGTATGTAGTATGTAGTGTAAGAATGAAGTATGAAGTATGAAGTGTATGTACTGCTGGTCAATTGTAAGAATATATAAGATCAATAATCATAATGAATATTGAGATATAGATCTACAACAACTCAACAATTCACCACCTGTCATACTACAATCAATTAATTGACTTGGAATATTCTCACTCAGACAATTTGGGCCACGTTAGCTTAAAAACAATCGTACCTTCAAAATGAAAGCTTCAAACTATGTAAAATGCAGCTGGAAGTGTAAGTATAAACATTATTTCATGATATTGAGAATAGTCTTTGATCTTTTAGTTGTAAACAAGTGGGAGGAGCTATGTTGTGGTATAACTAATAACATGATTTACTCTGTAGAGTAGAGAGGGGAGTGACTGAAGCTATCTGCAGAGATCATCACTGACATATTAGCCCCACCCTCAGCACATGCCACAAGGAACAAAACCGTCAACGTAGAATCTAGAAATTAGCAGGTACATCCAGTACATATATACAAATTGTGAGTCTAAGAAAATCTTGGTGCATGAACAAATTTATAGAAATTTCTGATTGAAAGCTAAATCCCCTCATATCATCTACGGAAATACAATATATATCATGTCACATGGTGTTCAAAGCAACCAATCAAACGCTTCTACATTTGATTTTGTGGTGCTTTGTAAGTTTGAACACAAAGAGTATGGGTGACCCCTCTCATATAAAAAAGGTCGTATTAAATAGATTCAATTCTCTAAAGTTATTCGGATAGTGAACCACAGTTTACATGAGGATAACTTAGTCTAAGTCTAGTTAGTTTTAAGTGGTTGTAAAAACAGTATGTAATTGAAATGGTGGGTTCTATGTTCAGTCATTGTGTGAAATCCAATGAACTTAAATAAGTCATCTTTCCTCATTATTCCATCTGACCCAGCTGTAAATGGGTACTGAATAAGTCATCTTTCCTCATTATTCCATCTGACCCAGCTGTAAATGGGTACTGAATAAGTCATCTAAACTTATAATTCCATCTAACCCAGCTGTAAATGGGTACTGAATAAGTCATCTTAACTTATAATTCCATCTGACCCAGCTGTAAATGGGTACTGAATAAGTCATCTTTCCTCATTATTCCATCTGACCCAGCTGTAAATGGGTACTGAATAAGTCATCTTAACTTATAATTCCATCTAACCCAGCTGTAAATGGGTACTGAATAAGTCATCTTTCCTCATTATTCCATCTGACCCAGCTGTAAATGGGTACTGAATAAGTCATCTTAACTTATAATTCCATCTAACCCAGCTGTAAATGGGTACTGAATAAGTCATCTTAACTTATAATTCCATCTGACCCAGCTGTAAATGGGTACTGAATAAGTCATCTAAACTTATAATTCCATCTAACCCAGCTGTAAATGGGTACTGAATAAGTCATCTTAACTTATAATTCCATCTGACCCAGCTGTAAATGGGTACTGAATAAGTCATCTTTCCTCATTATTCCATCTGACCCAGCTGTAAATGGGTACTGAATAAGTCATCTTAACTTATAATTCCATCTAACCCAGCTGTAAATGGGTACTGAATAAGTCATCTTTCCTCATTATTCCATCTGACCCAGCTGTAAATGGGTACTGAATAAGTCATCTTAACTTATAATTCCATCTAACCCAGCTGTAAATGGGTACAGATAATCCAGGAAAGATCAATGCCTAGAGGTTTGGCTATTATATTATTATAGAGTATTATAAACTATGATATATCAGGGTGTTTATCTTGATGTTAAACCTTTTTAACCTAAATTCTACACATGACTACACATCATAAACTATCTATACCAGTTGGGGGAACATATTGTTCATGTACCATACAGGAATGTTTATTAAGTAAATTGAAGGACCTGTTGACAAGATATCAAGCCAGGGTAGGCTCACAGATCTGTTAAACATGTATGTGTTTCAAAATGTTGTGTATAAGAACTCACAAGTAGGTTACTATCTATATTAGTATTTTCAGAATTTATTAAAGTGCTAACTATTTTAGTTTCAATTACTAAGAGTGGATTGTTTGTGTTTATATTTAGGTAAGAGGATTAGATTTGGATGTGGAAATGGAAAGAGTGGTTGTAACAACAACATATAATTGAAGTTAGGAAAGCACAGGCCGAGTAGATCTGGATGTGGAAAAGATGAATGTTTGACATTAATTTAAATCTGTATCATATAGATCTAACCCTGATCTGATTCTTGTTGCAGTTTTTCTTGTGATAACATGTTTTTATGATTAGCGAGCAAGGGGAGGTAATAAATAATGTGATTATGAGTGAGAAAAATTCGGTCCTGGAGTTATCAGTAGGATCTCCAGTCATAATGTCATAGTAACTATATTATATCATCAATCATTCTACAAACACATATCATAAAAATACCATGGTAATTTATTCTGCCTTCTGCCTCTATATAACTCTCTCACTTTCAAACTGTCTAAATCGTGGGCTACTTTTCATAATACGAAAGCACACAATTTAAACCTAATTTCACAGATTAATCCATAGATAACTCACTAGGTTAAAATCAAACTCTGCCATCAGCCTCCAATACACATTGTTAACGTTATTTTTTAAAAATGTCTAAATGATCTGATGGTTATGTTGAGATTTTAATAAACTTTTCCAATTTGGCATCTCATTCCAACCAAAACTAATGATAGAATCATTGAGAAGCATTGTTAGAGAATTGTTTTATTTGATGAAGAACACAGTAGACGAAATACATGAAATAGAAATACACTACGTAATATATTGAACAATGTGGATTTATTTGAATCATGTGTAGTGTAGATTGGATTATAAAGTAAAGGATCAAATTGGATTTGTCTGAATAAACAGTAATCATGAGGTGTTCTACAGTTCTCTTAGTTTTGTTGGAATTCTGTTCTGATCAGTTCATCTCATCTCAATAGCTGTCAACTTATTTCATATTATTCTGATTCGCTCTATAATTGACATATTGAGTAGGCATACTGTTATAAAAGTGAAAATATTTTACTATTGCTTTTGAAATATTTTGTTGGAACTTGATTCTAGCTCTGTTTTTTTGACTGACTAAAAAGCTATCATGATTATGAATGTGCTTGTGGTTGGATTTTGATGTTATTTCTATGGTTTTGATTGACAAATTAGTTTTATTCAGAAGCTCATTAAGTAAGCTGAAGAATTTGGTCAGAACCAGTTTTATTATTAACATCTCAATAAATAGTCATATTTCATTTTCTCTATTTGTAAAAGAAGAATTCTGTTATTTTGAATGTAAAATTCTAGTCAGAGATGTCCATATCATCTATAGAATCTTATATCCTGACAACCAACAAGACTACATTCTGATTAACAGAATGATCTCTCCTGGGAGAAAATAAAATCTTTATCATCAATTTTTAAATATGTCATGTTAACGTCCTACTGAACAAATACTTCAGAATTATCAAACAAGACAGATCAGGTACGTGTTGATTTCTAGATTATAGAGTTTATTTGTCAGGACCAGGGATACTTAGTTTTGGGATTCTAGGTTTGGGATTAAGGTGGAACTAGACCAGGCACAGTATCTGGTGAGCATCGTATTTTATTTTATAAATTCTTTTAGGTTATGTTTACTTCTTACAGTACAAAACAACAACATGTCATGTTTATTTGGTTTAGTAATGTTAGGTAATATCTGTTCTTTTTATCTTATTACTGGGTAAAGACCAGGTCTGGTATCTGGTGTCTGGTATAGTGTGGTTGTTAAAAACAGGAATATTTTAGCAAAGTTTCTTATCATTGCGAAACCAATTGATAATTTATTCAGTAGAGAAAATAGTCAAGAAACTTAATGTACTAAAAAACTGCATGTTCTTTTTTCAACCATATTTGATCATTAAAGAAAATTTCTTTCTGATCGAAAAATCTTGAACGAGTATTAAATTATCAGGATGAAAAGGCTAGGAATTCCCCCTGGAGCAATAAACACTCCATTAGACACTGCAGCTAAAATTATTGAGATCCAAGTCAATATCGCGGTACCTGCCGGCATCGAGATTTTAATGAAAATACTAATAAATACTGAGTTATGGCCCTTGGCAATATCTTAATATTTATTACAAAATTATAGGACTTGATTTTCTTTAATATGGTTGTTAAAACCCTTTGGCATTTCCAGTGACGGCAAGTAAGTGCCATTATACTTGTATATTGGAAGGAATTGCAAGCTTCATCACAACCAAGTCATCCTGTTTATGCAACCTATTATTCTGCTCTTTGATTTAGCTTATTTCAACCTAGTTTCCACTCAACCTCAGTGATGCAGCTAAGAGGGGCTGACATCGAAAAGCGTCTGGTCGTTCGGATGGGACAATAAACCAAGGCCCTGTGTGCTACAGACTGTGCACATTTAAGAAAGATGGAAATCGAAAAAAGCAGGCTTATGCCGCTGCCTGGCAAAATTTCCCTCATTGCACCCTGCATGGCGTTGCCTGTCTTCATTAGCCCACATGCTCAGAAAAGTAAGATGTAAAACTCCATTCATCTTATTTAATTTTTGATTTGGCTTATAGAAGACAGGCTAGTGAAGTTGTGCACTGTGCAATGGTGGACATTTTGCCAGAACAGTTTCATCAACTTCAGAAGTTTTGATTTCTGTTTTGATGAGGTTTTAACGTAGCCTGAAGTATATTAGGATCTTAAGGCCCTCATGTTCAATTATTGAAAATATCATTGTCAAAGACAAGCAATAATATCATCAATAAATATATCTAATATAATCTATTATAAGCACAAACTGTAGTGAATAAGAATCATTTTTAAAGTGGACTTTTTCAACTATGAAAATATTACAGTCCAACCTGACAAGTTAGAATAAGTGATCTTTATATTGGAGTCAAGTTGTTTCCTATCCAATTACATTATTCTACTTAAAGGAGATTTCATTGATTACTTGATCGGTATGAACATCAGTATGTATCGAACAGCTCTCGGTGCAGGAAACAAGTGATTTGATTGGTCAGTTATTATCAAGTGTAATTACTCCAGCGTAGTTAAGTATCCAGTCGAGTTGCTATGATGAATGGACTGGTAACAACTCCAGTGTTGACTAAACGTGTTGTCTAATGTGACTTATTGATCTAACAATAATATCAGTCAATAGTTTTATTTGTCCAGTCTTTCTGTGTCAATAGAAAATAATAACTAAAGAGAAACGAAGTTGACGACCGTGACAGAATTATGATATAATTATGAAAATGAACTGTAATTGTATTAAAGTGTTTGTTTGGTCACTGGTGTAGAAAATCTCTTTAATTCTTTATTTTACTTTAAAACAATTACAGTTTGTTATTAAATGTTACTTTATTGTTAGTTGATATATTATTACAAGACCTCTTTTATCTTGCAAACTCTGTTAAAAATCACTTGATTCTTAATTTTACAACAATTTTTAACAATTTTAGGGTTTCTTAATGATTTTTTAACATTTTTTACTGTTATTTGTTTTAATAAAAAGTTTTAAAATCTCAGCTCTAGGACAGTTTATATTTTATATGTTGCAAACTCGGCCAAAAAGTTTGTTTTTTCCAAAAATGCAAGAAAATGCCAGTGGATAGAAATGCATTTCAGAAAGTTTTTCTTATCTGAGTTTGAAACATGCCTGTGGGTACAAACCAACTACAAACTCATTTCAGAACAATCTTACAACCCACCATCTCTTCATTTCTAGTAAAAAGATAACAGTCAACTTTTCCTTAACAACTTTTAACATGCCTGCTGGTAGAAACAGAAAACATTTTCGAGCAATCTGACAACACAATATCTCCTTATTTATAATAAAAAGATAGAAATCAACGTTTCCTTGGTGTTTATTTAGAGTTATCATTCATTTTCCCTTATTTTATCAAAATTATAACACTGGTTTGTGTTTTCATCAGGTTAGGATATAACACTGTAATAGTAAATTAAGGTGCAAAAGACAAGGTGTGGTTTGTCATGTAATGTACAGGACTGGATTATCAATATTCTTTCCAAGACTCTACAAATCAGCTTCTCTCTTTCAATAATGAAAGATAACTCATCCTTATCAGGACAGCAATCGTTTCCCAAGTCTACATACTATATTTTTCCTTTCAATAATCAATCATTAACTAGATCTTATCTCATTCTGCTGACATGTTTCTGATACACAATCTTCATCAGGACAGCTAGTTTTAGAAATGGAGGTTAACTTTCCAATATAAGACTTAATATGAGCTAATTGACTAGAGCTCATCTCATGCCACCAACACATGTTTCAGATACACAATTCTCATCAGGACACAAGGTTTGGAAAATTGACGTTTGCTTTATACTGCATTGACATGTTTCGGATATTCACAGCTAGTTTTGGAAATGGAGATTAACTTTCAAAAATAGGATTTACGGTGTATGAACAAAGAAATGGAACTCACTTTGTAGTAAGTTTTAAACAAGACCTATCTTTATAACAAGTTTCTGAAACATTTTTCACATCAACAAATCCTTTTGAAAATTGAACTCACTGAGTAGTTTTATACATTAGAGTTTTTAACAGAAGATATTATGTATCCATTGATTTCTTTCAGAAATTCTTTAAAAGATGAAAAGTAAAAGTTAAAAGATGAAATCTTCGATACCATTTAGAAAATTACAGAAAATCTGTTGCTATGGTTTCAGTATTATTAGTTTCCTGTTGGTTTTTACCTATTTACAAAGTTCTAAACCCATTGACAGGTAAACTCTTTTTATGGTTAGATTTACATCATTTCTCAATTCAGACTAAAACTGCCTTCAGATACAATCTTTTAAATGTCTCTATAGCAACAAGGGTTGAAATAATCATTAATCGTATAGATGACAAAGATAAACCAAGGCCTACAGACTGTGCATATTGAAGAAATTCATCTCAACAAAACATTCAAATCTTAAACATATTTCTACCTTGTTTCACTTTAGAGGGTTAACCTTAAATAAAGGTACAGTAATAAATATTCCAATTATCACATGATTTCCAAACTGACCAATAAACATGTTTTTTCATAAATTAGCTTTTGTAAATGTGGATACGCAAAACTCATGAATAATACATGAGAACATCAAAATTATTAGGTCATTTGTGTCGCTTATTCCACACCAGATATCTTATCTCGTCTATTCCCAGCTTTATACATGTGAACATCAAAATTATTGGGTCATTTGTGTCGCTTATTCCACACCAGATATCTTATCTCGTCTATTCCCAGCTTTATACATGAGAACATCAAAATTATTGGGTCATTTGTGTCGCTTATTCCACACCAGATATCTTATCTCGTCTATTCCCAGCTTTATACATGTGAACATCAAATTATTGGGTCATTTGTGTCGCTTACTTCCACACCAGACTTGAACCCCATTCTATCTTTGATCAAAACTTTTTAACTCTCACCATTTCTTTTTTCACATGACAGAGTTAAAGATGATGTTGAGATGCCATATACTTGGAAGTTTGAAAACTTTCCCGTGTCACAGAAAGAAGAATTTATCACAACTTTACTTCAAAACCTTGATCAACAACAAACATCCAATCACCAACCAAAACCCAGCTTGATAATTCAAACCAAGCCATTCAAATTTTATATTTACGAACTACCAGATAAGTTTAATTCTGATTTGATACAATGTATGAAAGAAAGTAAGAGTTATGGTTCTTGTTTCGACTTGAGGAATAACGGAATGGGTCAGACATTGAAGCGGGAAGATGGGTACATCGTCATGGATACCAATCAATTTTCATTGGAGGTTATAATTCATAATCAATTATTACATCATCCGTATCGAACTTTAAATATGTCTGAAGCCGACGTGTTTTACGTGCCGGCGTACATGGGACTGCCATGTTTTTGTTTCAAGATGGAGGAACGACGCTACGAAATAATCAACGATCTTTATGAATATTTATCCAATCAGAAACCATTCCAAGAATTAAAACCTCATTTTTCAACGATTGCAAAAATCGAACGAGAACAGTCTTGCCGATCATGTCCTTTACTCAAAATGAAACAGAGTAGGAAAATTACATTTCTAGCGATTGAGAGAGAGACAAATAAAAAGTCGCGTATAAATGTTGGAGTGAAATCGTTTGAAACTATCGTAGCACCTTATCCATCGTATGTTCATTACACAAAACCGAAAATAAATACCCCAGGATTACACGACAGAAATGTGGTTGTGTTCTTCGCAGCAAGTACACGTCGTTCCAACTATTTCAGAAATTGTTTGATCGATCAATTTAAAAATAAAACAAAAGACCAATATGAGGATTTTTATCGCATTCCAGACAACACAAATATTAAACAAGTTATGTTGGTGACTCAGGAATGCCTCGGAAATCACAAGTTTACCACAATTCCATGGATGAGGCGTTCGGTGTTTTGCCTCGAACCTCCAGGGGATTCGCCCACACGGAAATCTTTCTATGATGCTATTTTAAGTGGGTGTATACCAGTGTTATTTCACTATAACAATGGAAATCGTGTCCGATATCCGTTTGATAGCGTGTTAAACTATACAGATTTTACTGTGATACTACCAGCCACTCATGGCAAGGAAATTTATCCAGACGTATTCCAAACATTATCGGAAATTCCTTCCACAGAAATCCAAAGACTTTACAACAATTTAGCGCAAGTGTCACAATATTTCCAGTATTCTTTTCTATCGAACAATTCACAGCGGGAACCTCACCCCGATGCAATTATGTTGATATTAGAAGAAATTAGAAAATTGTATAAAAAAAATAAATGAACAGAAAAATGTTAATTTTTGTGACAAGAAGTCATCTATTTGACATTCCTCAACTTCCTGTTGAACTCTTCCTCACATGCATGATTCATGATACTGTATATGTATGACTGGAAGAGCTCATTTGTAAAATAAGGGGTGTTTAATGTTGCCTGTCAAGTTATATCCAGCTTTTTACCAGTATGTTTATGTCTGACCTACCCTCCAAGAGTATATTTGAAATTCCCCAAGTATATATTTAAAAAGAAAATTTGGATATGTTCAGACACGTTCAATTTTTCTTTGTCTATGTGTACAAGGTTTGAACTTGCTTAAACACCAACAAGATGTTTTGAATGAGCCAGTCAAATTATCAAAATACTTTCTAGTGTGAGAAGTATATAAAGTAATAAACTTACCGGACAAGGGAATGCATGAACCAAGTCATCAAGGAAGACAACTCTCAGGTTGATATGTTTCCCTTTACGTGGTGATTTCGGGGAGAGAGTGGTCGTCATGGTGACACCTGGTTCCTTCTTCCTCTCTCGTCGTTATAAATTTATCATTCCTTCAATTTCCTCTCCTACTTTCACATTTTTTCCTGAAAAATATAAAAAAAAATTAATTTGATAACTTTAAATCTGTTTCTGGTAATTTGGCTGATTTGTTTGTATCTCATGATTTTTACCATTATAGCAGAGGCAGGTGTCGCACACAAAGCAGACCATGCTTACTCATTTCAAAACACCTGATAATAATCCTCTTTGGAAGAATCCACTACCACACAGCTTTTGCTCTCAGTATTGCCATGCTTTAGATGAGATTTTGATTAAAGTAATTGTCTTGCTTGTAAGGATTTTTTATGACATGAATTCAGTTCGACATTGCAGCTGATATTTCCATGCAAATGTTTTATAAATGTGTACAATATCTCTATATTTATTAGGTCAAAATATTATAGACTTTTTATGGCTTTGATACTTTTTGAATAATTCTGAATTGAAAAGAGTTATGTGTTTTTTACTGAGCCACCAGATATATTAAAGTTTAAAAGCACAGTTATAACTGTAAGTTATATGCAGATGAAGTTTATAAAACCTGAATAATGAAAGAAAGAATGATTTTACAATGTTAACAGAAAATAACAGAAAACACACAGGAATATATTTAAGCAATAAACTGTTATCCTATGGTAGTAAAGGTTGTGTATCAGGACAAAGGTTGGCTGGAAAATTGAATAAATGCGCGTATTTACGTTTTCAAGACATTCTAATTTCTTTACGTTTCAACGTTAGGGACTATTTCTTTACGTTTACATTGAAGACCGTATATTTGATATAATGACGTCAATGAACAACAACGTCATTGGTTAAAATTACTATGCCTAATGTTTTAGTGATGAGGCAATGGTGTTTATGGTGATATTAACGCCACACGAATCTGTATTAGTCCAATGGAAAAAATAATAGCTCATGTAATTATTATGGTATAACACACTTCTTGTAAATTTCATTCAAATCTAATGTTAACAGCAATTTATAAATCTGTATCAAAGGGGGACATGGGTTTGTTATCTCACCTATGGTGCATACCCCTCTTTAAGTTGACAGACAAGTCTAATTTGTATTTACAAGTTCCTTCAATGTATACAGCTTAAATCTAAATGTAAAAATTCTGTAGTCCATTTGATCTAGCCAATAACCATTCTAGTAGAAAAGAGTTTAAGACATCAACTGTAAGGATTGCCTGGGGCTTGATAAAACCATATAAATTTTATTGTGTTAGTGTTTTATTACGGATTTCTATGTCTAAATCCTGTCTATTGTAGCGTAGTTCATTTTCCACCTTTCTTACGATTTTAACCACATGTAATTAGTTTACATTTCATTTTGATTTCAAATTTTAATCTTAAATTCTGTAGCAGTGTAAAGACTGGAGAAAAACCATAATAATAGAAAATTGAGATTAAGATTCCAGTCTGAATAGATGTAACGTTGCTTTTCAAACAATGTATTATTTTGTGCAACAGAATGAGTTCAAACCATGATAATAGAAAAACTATTCTAGATCTCATCAGCCAACTGTAATCATAGAATGTCTTATTCAATTTTATAATCAATAGAATATCTCATTAGTCCACACAGGAGCATATCTAGAAAATACTTTAGAAGGACGCAAAAAACGAGGTGTCTCTCCAAGGTGAGGGTCTGCTAGATGCACCCTACATGCCAACAGATTTCAGAAATAAATTTAGAGCATTAAGAGGGCTTCATTTTCACTTCAAAATAAAACTTATTAAGGCCCAAGGGGTTAGGCCATTTCCCAATGGCCCTCCCCATAAATACGCTACCCCAATAGTCTATAATAGTCCGAAAATGATTCCTTCCATTTTGAAATCAATAAATCATCTATTAAGAAACATGTACAACTTGAGATGAAGTTCTACTAAAACACTGAAGGCAAAATCAATCAACAAAACACAACTCATCAGCAACAAGATGAGAAAGGTCCTTTTTCAGTCTTTAAATTAACAGAGAACTGAAGATTTCATCAATGAAAAATGACCTCCAGACCTCAGTGAAGTTGGTGAACACATTAATTCAGTCTTTTAATCAATAGAAAACCTGTACTTCTGCATCTTGGAGTAGGAACAATGTTCTAAGCCTGAGATTAAACAGTAAATACCACTAAATACAATTCATTTGAGATTCTATACTGGAAACTGACCTCCCAGACCTTAATGAAGTTACTCAATCTAGAAGATATTTTTTACATCTTAAAGTGGAGGAATTGATGAAAACTCAAACGAAACCTGAAGTTGGCGAAACATTGATGGCAGCTAATGAACTTTTGAGTTGTATTTGATATTTTCTGTTTCAATGACAGGCTTACAAAATTGATTTAAAGACTGAAGAAATGTTTAACTATAGAGGAAGATGTTTTAAAATATTTATACCATAGTCACAATTAAGCTCATTGGAAACAAATGAAAATTGACAAAACAAAAACCAACATATCTTTGAGCACTGGGGAAACAGGATTAAGTAACAATTTCAGTTTTTTACAGAGTTGGCATACACTTTAATCAATGGAGATCTGTACTTGTATAACTGGCGAAAGAAATTCTATTAGCAGACGACAGGAGAAATATAATGAATACAGATTGATATATAGGTTTGTACTCTTCTACCAACTGTGTTAATACTTTCTTACTCTAATGCCTGATTGAAAGAAACACTGTCTTTTTATGGCAGTGGAATAGCTAGAAGGTAGCAAGTTCAATTGTCGTCTGTTGGGCGATTAAGTGATGTGGGTTCAAATCCTTGCAAGGCAAGAAAAATTCTGATTGTCAGAAAGAGCTTTGAGTATCTATAACCAGTATTATTAAATTGAGTGTCTGTACTCCAAGCAGCCTATTCTCGAAACTATCTTAGTGCTAGGATATCTTAGGTTCTTATCTTCCTAACATTGTTTCTAGGATATCCTAGGTTCTTATCTTCTAACATTGTTTCTAGGATATCCTAGGTTCTTATCTTCTAACATTGATTCTAGGACATCCTAGGTTCTTATCTTCTAACATCGATTCTAGGACATCCTAGGTTCTTATCTTCTAACATTGATTCTAGGACATCCTAGGTTCTTATCTTCTAACATTGATTCTAGGACATCCTAGGTTCTTATCTTCTAACATTGATTCTAGGATGTCCTATAGGTCTTATCTTCTAACATTGATACTATTATATCCTAGGTTCATATCTTCTAACATTGATACTAGGACATCCTAGGTTCTTATCTTCTAACATTGATTCTAGGACATCCTAGGTTCTTATCTTCTAACATTGATTCTAGGACATCCTAGGTTCTTATCTTATAACATTGATTCTAGGATATCCTAGGTTCTTATCTTCTAACATTGATTCTAGGACATCCTAGGTTCTTATCTTCTAACATTGATTCTAGGACATCCTAGGTTCTTATCTTCTAACATTGATTCTAGGACATCCTAGGTTCTTATCTTATAACATTGATTCTAGGATATCCTAGGTTCTTATCTTATAACATTGATTCTAGGATATCCTATGTTCTTATCTTCTAACATTGATTCTAGGATGTCCTATAGGTCTTATCTTCTAACATTGATTCTAGGATGTCCTAGGTTCTTATCTTCTAATATTGATTCTAGGATGTCCTAGGTTCTTATCTTCTAACATTGTTTCTAGGATGTCCTAGGTTCTTTTCTTCTAACATTGTTTCTAGGATATCTTAGGTTCTTTTCTTCTAACATTGTTTCTAGGATATCCTAGGTTCTTTTCTTCTAACATTGATTGTAGGATATCCTAGGTTCTTATCTTCTAACATTGTTTCTAGGATATCCTAGGTTCTTATCTTCCTAACATTGTTTCTAGGATATCCTAGGTTCTTATCTTCTAACATTGATTCTAGGACATCCTAACGCTAAGATCGTTTCGACAATACATGGCCATAGTTTTATCATAAAACTTGATCATATTATTATATCTACCACTATAAGATTTATTTTGTCAACAATAAAACGCTTTATGCGGTACCAATTTACAGCTGGGTCAACTGAAATAAGGAGATTCCAATTGTTTTAACCAAGAAACCAACACTCTACCCAACTGAGCTACAGACTGTCCTACTGATAACCTGGCCACAATGGTCACTGTCAAAGCAACCTTACTACTTCGATCAGTAAGTGTCTCATAGTTCAAATATCTCAGAGAAAAGAACTTTCCAATTAATGAGCTTGATCGCCATCGTTTTCAATAAATTTCTGAATTGTGTAGCCAAGTAAATAATTAAAACGATGTCGTCTGAAACGATAGTCGTCTATTTTTAGACATCAACCGCCAATTTTCCTTTTAATGATTCTTTTCGTAAATCCTTACTGAATAAAAAAATCACAAAGGTCTGATAAATGGCAGACGAAATTCAATTTAGTCGAAGGAGATTTTCAACATCAAGATAGTAAACGACAAACTCGTCTGAGAGGATGTTCAAGA